TCAAACACTGCCTTTCAACACGCAAAAAGGTTCTGCCTTGCTGATGCATCACGATTATGTGACAAACTATGCCCTTGATGAAGAGTTTGACTCCGAGCGGATCGAACCCGAACCGAACAAACATATGATGTGTTCGTGCACAAACAGGCGGCATCTTCAAGCATAGTCTCTGTCACAAGACTTGTCTGACATTTCGTCTGACATTGAGGGCGAGAGAGCCTTGCTCCACATGGCAGTGGCAAGCAGCCAGCAAGTTGCCCTCTTTCAGGGTGAAAACCTCACGGTTTTAAGCCGGGAACGCAACATGGGTCCCGTGGGTTGGGGTTCAGAAATGATGGGTATTCCATGACATTCCAAAGTATGTTCGTTTTTTTGTCAGGGAACATGATGATCAAACATGATCAAACATCAAATTGGCATAAATTTGGGTGGTATTACTTGGTATTGCCATTCTGTGAGAAGAATCCTCTATAGATACCCTGCAAACAAAAAACAAGACTGTTTCAGCTGGTTTGTCTACCTTTCCTTGCCAAAACCACAAAAAGTGACCAAGGGAAGTTATCCAGAGTGACCCGCTAGGGGCTCCAGTAATCTGTAGCTGGGGACCATATCTGGATACTAATGAAATTGAAGTCGTGGCTCCCGAAACGAATCCAGGCAATGGAAAAGGGTCATCCACAAATGATGCTTTCTAAGTATATATATATATATTATATTATATATATATACATTTATATTACTATGGAATACATTCAGGGAAATACACCTTCACGGATGTTGACTGGATGTTCGTCAAAAAATCATAGTGAGACATAGTGAGACGACATAGGTTCACTTTAAAGTGGTCACTTCAAGAGCTTGTCGTTCGGCCAGCCTTAGAGATCTTAGATACGCAAAGAAACAAAAAAAAAGCTGGTTGAGTTAGTATATTCCTCCATCATACTAACCCTAATAGGTTTGCTATAGTATATAGATAGATAGATAGATAGATAGATATATATATATATATATACGCACACTCACGGATGCTTTATCCTATGCTTATAACGTATATTTATAAAATATTTCATATGTATAATATATATATATATATATTCATATACAATCATATACATACATACAGTCACCATATAATATACCATCTGGTTATTGAACATAGCCATGGAAAATCACCATTGTTCATAGGTAAACCTCTATTTTCATGGGCCATGGCTTCCATATGTTAAATAACCAGAGGGTATATTTGTAAATATGATATTCATACCACCCACCGACCCACCAGGTCCCTCGCAGCTGTAGCCGAAGGGGATGCCAAACCAACTCATGACCTACAGAAGCTGGCGCTTCTTTTTTAACCGTTGCAATGGGCACTGGAAAGCATGAAAAACACATGAAAAAACACATGAAAAAAAAAACATATTAAAACACATTAAAACCACCAACATAACAAACATTTAACATGTCAAAAACAAAAACATCAGCTTTGCAAGATCCTGAACTTGGCGCTCTTTGGTGTTTATCTGTTTGACCGATGCATACATGACATCTAAAAAAACTCCCCAACATAAACGGCGAGTTCTTGAAATGGGCGACCCCAAGAGTAGTCCAAAATTGCCAGGTGGGGAGACGGCAAACAAGTTGAAACCCTGTTCGCTCAGCGTCTTCACACTTGGCTCAGGCAAGGTGCAAAGGAGGGTGTGGCTTAATTAGCTAAGGTTCATCTAAGGCATGTTTATAGATATGACTGTCCCATCCCATTTCATACTGGTTGGTTCATGGGTATTCCATGGTATTCCTAGTATACAAGTATCAGGTACAAAGCTAAAAGCCCCAGTGGTTCCAGTAGTTTTTCGATATGTAATACTGTGGATGGAAGAAGTCCTGCATCACCTTGGATGGTTGAAACCCTATAGATAATGGATGATAATGGGATAAACCACCTATCAACTGGTGCAGGATTTCGCAAGCAGCTACCGTATGTTCCACTGAACACCTCCAGCCATCCACACATCGTCATTTCTCAGGCCCCCTCTCAACAGGTAGGGAACATCCCTGAGCCTGGCTCGTCGCGCAGGGAGGATGGACATGGATGGACCCAGGGTCCATCTGAACATGGCATGGAAATGTGAAGAATAGCGAAGAACCCTCAATCAAACCTGGCTGAGAACTCCACCTTTAGATGATTTTCCCACGAAAACACAATTTATCAAGTTTTAATTGCCATGATTGATTACCGGAGGGTAACTTTTCTATACTTTTCCAGCATGTTTTTCTTTTGACGTCTTCAAGTGTCCGGGTCTCAACTAGTGAAAGCTTCCATTTTTTTTCGTCCTGCATGATTGATTGCAATGTCTGACATACTACGTAATAGTGACTCGAAAATGGGAACTTTCCACTAGACTATTGTGTTGCACCAGGTTTAAGGCTAACTCAAGATTAACATATATGATACATATATGATACATATATGCATCAGACACATCATCTCCAGCATCCCCACTAAACTGTCAGATTGTCCCGGTGAAGACGTTCTTTATGTTCAACTTTGAGGCACCGGACGTCAGGAAGGTCCAAGAGGACCGAACTTTAAGGCTCGAGGCTCGGGGTGTCAAGGGATTGAACCCGATATTGCCTTGGTTACCCTCTGGTAAACATACAAAAAACTATTGAAAATGGCCATAGAAATAGTGGATTTACCCATTAAACATGGTGATTTTCCATAGTTATGTGGCTGTTTACCAGAGGGTACTTGCTGTGACTTTGACCATGTTAGCCACAATCGCGTTATAAGAGGTGCCAACATTCTGTTGAGGTGAAAAAGGGTCTTCAAATCAAATATCCGACCTGTGACATCTGGAGCCAAATTACTGGAGCAACCGCTGTGCATATTTGGAGGCCCTCTATGCATGTGCTCTGCCATGTCGCACAGGCTTTCTCAAAATTACAGCTGTACGAGGCAGTTGCATAGGTCTTCGTCTGCAACTTTGGTCTAAAGACATGGTATATCTAAGCACATCCTGAAACCTCAAAATTAGATGGGCGATTGGTACCCAACATACGCAGAGTAGTTCAATGGAATAATATGAAGCCACTGGTGTCATTGGTAAACGCCCTTTTTTTTTGGACGATTGCTGCGATCCTCAAGTGCCGGGTCACCACCTAGGCGAGTTGGTCATGAAGAGTTCCAGTACCAGGGTTTCGTTTGGGGGCTGTTTAAGATTTGGGGAAGGGCAATGAGGGTCACTTTCCGCAGATAAATCGTCTGAATCATAATTCTTGGCTCACCTATGAAATGGGATGAAATCGGGTGCAAAAGTTGCAAGAATCTCGACAAAGGAACAACACCTTCATAATGCTTAGGTATGCCTATAGGTATGCCCAGGTATGCTTTTTAATGTGTTTGTTTGTGGGGTCATTCAAATTCACCCCAAATCATCATGAGTGAAGCCTCATTCAGCGTTCGTTGGTGCGGGAGCCCCAGCGATGGGAACAACAACAAACTGGGGTCGCCCTGGAACTAAAACTATATGATTCACGGCAACAACATATAGTTTTAGTTCTTTATTTCTAGCATTTACTATAGTATTTATGAACAATATGAATTCATATATTCATATAGTTTTAGTTTTTTAACTATATGAATCAATAATATAACAATATATACTTAATTACTATAACTACAATATTCAGAGGGTTTATAAACAAACTAACACCACTGAGGGTTGCTACCTTGTATACACGAAAAAATACACAGCAGCCAGTGACCTGCCCTGGGCCACCCAACTAGTACGGTCCCCATCCTCCTTTCCATCCTTTTCCTGCAAGCTCATGGCAACAAGAAATGGGTCCAAATTCAAGACTCACTATACAAGGTGGGGCATACCTCCGGTTCAAAGTTGGTTTATAAACCCAGTTACCGTTTGGTTATTTAACATAGCCATGGAAGCCATGACCCATTTATAGATGGTTTACCTATTAATAGCATGGTGGATCTTTCCATGACTATGCTAAATCAGAGGGTAACAAATGTTGACAGCAGAAACAAAAACATCATCAGCATCGCATCCCGACAAAAACAGACCGATGGAGTGCGGCCCATGGCCGATGGCGGGCTGACCCAATGGAACGACAAAGACTCCGCCGCAGCAATTGCGCGGTATTGTTTTAAAAGTGTGGATGGAACAGTCGTCCTACACTTGAAATCGAGAAGTGTAACAAGTTTTCTTTTGGAGTTGAGAAGAATAGCATGGCCCCTGCGCATTCATTTGTTGCAGCATGGCCACCTTTTGCCAAGGATGACACACACAAATCCCTTGGACATTCATGGCTCAAGAAAAATAGGAGCGGTGCAGCTCACTGGCGCGGTACCTGTGCCTTCACAGGTTATGAGCCCAAAGTGGCCAACTTGGGACGTTTTTCGTTGCTAAGCTGCTGGCATGGACATGAGGCGTCGCAGCCGGGGCATGGAAAGCGGCCGGAGTGAGTCCGCAGATGAAAGGCTTGATCGCCTGATAGCTATGGAGAGGAGAGCAAGGTCGACACCTCCAGCAAGGGGGGAGCAGCATGAACTGAGGCGCTTGAAGATGGTGCCTGAGGGGAGCGAGAGCTCAGCAGTCTCTGGTGATGCGGCTGCTGCGCATGGAGGTCAACGAGGTGGAGCAGAGGGGACAGCTTTGGCGGATGTGCCGAGGCCAGCTCACTTGCCCCTGGACTTCGGACAGCCAGCTCGAGATCCTCAAGGTCTTCTAGCTCCTTTGGTTCGGGGCGCTCTTGGTGATGGCCGAGCTCTACAAGCTGATCAGGGTCAAGTTGGACATTCAGGTCAAGTTCACCACGGCGATCAAGGAGGTCGTGCTCAGGTGAACGATGGGTCAATGACTAGGAGGGGCACGGAGACAGTGAACCCTTTCTGGAGTTCTGATGTGAGGAGAAATGCTCTCATGTCAGGTCAAGGACGTCTACCAGGTGACGTGGGGCTGACTCGCAACTTGCAGCCGGTGATGGATGCAGCGGGAAGCGGCCGGACTGGCCAGGACCTGGATGAAGGTGAACTTGAGAGGATCCGGCAAAGGATCCTGCGTGAAGCGGAGGAGAACTTCAAGCTGGAGATCAGGAAGCTTCGTGGTGAGGTGGGGACAGACTCCAGGTCTTACCATTCGGCTTCATCTGGTGGTGACCAGGGAGCTCCTTCGGCAGCGCAAGGTGATAGAGCAGCTTGTGGAGCTACTGCAACTCCACTTCGGGGGATTGGTCATGGCTTGGCAGCGATGTCAACTCCTGGACAAGGAGATCGCGGTGGTGCTGTGGTCAATGGGACGCCAGTGGCAGCTGCCTAGGTGTTAGGTGTTCCTTCTCCGCCTGGTTTGGATCAACGAGGTGGTCTTCCTGGTGCTGGAGCTCAAGGTGGTTTTGGGGAGTCGCTGAAGAGCCAGGAGCTCCCAGCCATGCCGGCTCCGGGTGTGGAAGGGGCTTCATTAGCCTTTGGAGACTGGCTTGCACTGGCCAGTCCACAAATGTCAGACATTGGAGCTATATCCCGGGATTGGTGGATCTATGTCCTACAGCAGGTGGAGGAGCACTATGAAAGATGGTTGGTGTCTGGTCCTGTGGATCGCCTTCGCCTACGTCCTGGTGATGCTCAACTTCCTGCAGAATTTCAACGGGTTGAACAACGTGGGGTGTCAATGCTTCTGGCAGCTTCTCCGGAGATGATCAAGCGAGACTTGGTGGCTTCCAGAACTTTGACATCAACTGGAATCCTTTTTCGGATGTTCACGGTGTATCAGCCTGGTGGTGGAGTGGAAAAGGCAGCACTTCTCAAGCAGGTGACCTATCCAAAGATTGGGTCGTCAGTGGTGGACCTTCTTGGGGGGCTTCGTCAATGGAGGAGGCTGTTGGGTCGGGCTGCAGAGCTACGTTTGGCTCTTCCTGATCCTGTGGTGCTTTCGTCGGTGTTGGGTCGCATGGCGGACGCTTTGGCCAAAGTTGGTGGTCTTCAGGTGGGCTATCGCATCTCAGCGGTGAGGCAGGAGCTCATGGTGGACACCCGGCCGACTATGGAAGCGGTGAGGGACTATGCTGAGGTCCTGCAGGCAGAAGCTGAGGAGTTGGCACTGGTGACGAACTCAAAGGTGTTCTCTACGGCGCCAACGGCTGCTCCAGTTTTGAAGGCTCTTCAAGTGGCCGGTCAGGATGGTTCTTCAACTTTGCCGGCATCAACCAGCACAAAGGGTCCATGTAGATACTGGAAAACCGATGAGGGTTGCAAACGGGGTGCGGCTTGCACCTTTCAGCACGACATGGAAGGAATGCGTGGCCGGTGTTGGTCATGTGGGGGCTCAAATCACCTCAAAAAGGATTGTCCTCACAAAACAGCTTTGGGTGGCATCAACGGCGGCGATACCAAAACGCCGAGAAGGGTCAGTAAGATCAAGGAAAAGATGACTCCGGAGAAGGGTAGTCCTGGTGCAGCTCAGGGGGAGAAGGTCGCCAAGGTGGTTGCACAGGATGAGATCAAAGGGGCATCAACGGATGGGGTTGCAGCTGAAAAAGAGCCTGTGAAGGTTCCGGTTTCTGTTGCTCCTGCTCAAGTTCAAGAAGCTCCCAAGGAGACGGCGGCAGATCTGATGAAGGAGGCTGCAAGCCTTCTCAAGTCTTTGAGGAGCGTCAAAT